ATTTATTCAAAACACCCACCCGGTTCATTGGTATTTTTTGTAAGTACCAATTGGTTCCAAATCCAATTATCTTTCCTACCAATATTAAATATTATATGCAAGCATATGAGGCTAGGACTAAGCTTATGTATTTCATACTTCAAAAAATCATTCAAGGGAAAATGCTACAGGTGCAATAAATGCAAAAGTTTTGAATAAATGAATAATATTAATAAAGAAATAAAAAATGTTACTTGCATATGCAAATTAGAACCTGTGGATAGTGTGGAGCACTAAAAAGTGTATATAGTTTTCCCGATTCTCCATCATGATCTATGCTGTATCCACTAAACATATCCCCAAAATCATCATCTCTTCCAGCCCTTGCATCAGGTCCTTCATGTGATCTGATAATCAGCTATGCAGCAAGAATAATATTTACTAACAGTAAGAATATTATTTAGTAATTAAACAAATAATATTTATTAAATAACGCTGGTTCTTTAATACACATCTAAACATGCAACCCATCATGTACAATGACAGGCATTATTGATGACAATTTGTGATATTAGCTCTAAACATCTGATAATAAGCTCAAGCATGGGACTTAAGTGGTTGTGTTCTTTATAATTAGTATGAAACAAATGAAGAATATAAACAAAAACATTACTCTAAAAAGGGGTAATTCATGAAGAAAAAGAAGGGGAACTAGAACACCAAGTCCAAACTCAAAAATGTGAATAATTCAATTTTCTTGCTGGAAAGAATGATTATAATGTTTATATTTTCAGTTAACATTAAACTTCCTGATCTTGAGAATGTAAAATGAAATAAGAAAATAAGGCAGACTATGCTTAAAAAAAGTAAGTAAAAAAGGGTAACAGACAGAGATAAGTCCAGGTTTGAAGCTTTTCATGTTGAGTGAGGTCAATCAAGGTCAAGGGTTTTAGGTCAGCAAAAGCTTTAGTTCCCCCTCTAAAAAGTCAGGTCAAGTGTCGTAAAGGCAACCAGTGCGATAACCCACCAGTGAAAATGAAAGAAGTTCTAGTGGAACAGCAACAGAAGTATCTAACATCTTGTCCTAGACACGAAGATGAGCAAGAGTGCAAGTGAATTTTGTCAAGATAGAACAGCAGACTTCTGAGGAGATTGGAAGCCTATATAAATAATAGGAATGACAAATTGCAATCTTTATTTACAAGACCAATTCATAATTTCGTATGACTTAATCTCTTCCTGATAAAAACACACTATGGATGTTTCTTGGCTATCCTTTCCTCTCAACCTCCTGACTAACACTGACTATAAGATAAACACTGGAATAAACCGGATTCGTTTTCCAAAACAATAAGAACACAGCCTATTAATTTCTTTGACTAGAGGATGATGAAAAGTTAAAATATCATGGCAATAGTATACTAACAAAAAGTACCAATTTGGTGTGTGACATCAAATATAACTATAATAATTAGAAGATTGGGAAATCTTAATCAAATTACTTCATTCAGTAAAATAAATAAGTATTTACTAATTAGTATTACATAATACAATAAAGTCACTAAGCGCTCATTCAGTACTATAATCAAATTATACTTTTGAATGTTATTACCTTTAAGTTGTTCTGCTTTAAGAATGCCTCGGTGCAATCAGGACCCCACCATAAACCTAACTTTTGACCTGTATTATCCCTCAGACCATCCTTGTTAGATGGTTTTGACCAGAGAACATCACTCAATAATATGTTAGGACCTTCATAAGGGCAATCTACACAAGATCTTTTAACTTCAGATAACTCAGCTAAAGAACCAAGATCCACCCTGTGTGTTTTATTCCGTTTTGGTTTCTGTGAAGATGCTGCATCTATACTACGGAAAAGTCCTCCATGAGTAGTATAAGCACAGTTGGCAATAACTGATGCTAATGGAAGCTCCTTGAAACACTCTAAGAATTTACTGTAGACATCTTCACCTTGATCACCATATTTGGACCACACCTCCTCCTTAAAACCATATCTTGTAGTGCAATATCTTGATTCATGATTTCCACGAAGTAGATATACTCTGTGAGGCATCAAGACCTGAATATGCAATGACAGACTTTATTACATACCAATAAATATTGAGTGTGTAATATGTGTAAGTATTCTATTTGGCCACCATAACAGTTATTACTTATTAAGTCATACAAATATTTCTAAACAGTAGTCTTCTGTGATCTTATTTCTACAACAACCAACAAAATCATGAAGGATCTCAACATTTGTTAAATTTTGCAACAACCACCTTACCTTCCAAGCCAACAAGACCAAAAGCACTTCAACTCCCCAAGCTCCTTTATCTACATAATTTCCATTGAAAACATAAATCTGGTTCTCAGAGGGCACACCTGCATGCTTCAAAAGCAACATTAAGTCATGAAACTGCCCGTGTATATCACCTACTACAATGACTCTTGAATCTTCTCCTTGACAATTAATATCCACACAGTTTGGTTCTTTACATAAAATACTACAAACACCATCCACCAATTTTTCCACAAACATGGTAGGCACAACATGACAGAATTCAGATGACAACATCTTCTGTGAAGCCTGCTCAAGGATGATCATCATGTCCTGAACCCACTCTAAGGTGATGCAATCATCTGGGGGCCACATAACAAATTGCTGAAAGCAAGGTAACAAAGACTCCTGCACTTCATCTATCCCATTTTCAAACCTTAATACATGATCGACATCCAACATCTCGTCCTCATTAGTCATGCTTTGTGCCCCATCAATCAGGGCGTCCCCATTGCTGATCTTTGTTGACTCAACCAAGGGACTATCTCTCATCCCTTCATCCACAAAGCCAACCTGTAAAACTGATCAATGTACCTTAAAGAGAAATCTTAAATATAGACAAAATGAAACAAATTAAAACATAATTAGACAGCAAGAAGAATTAACCCCTTACTTGTTCTGCAAGTAAATCAGGCCTAGCTATTGCAACTCTAGGTTGTTTATCAATAATCCCATGTGCAATATCTTTCATCCTCGTGACTAAATGCATCCTCTGGTCATCCAAGCCTTCAAAGGAAATCCTACTTAATATTTGAATGATATCTCTGGATGCACAAACCTGTAAGTGCAAACTGCATTATGTCAGTAAAGAGAGAGATAAATTATCAACATTACTCAAAGGAATCAGTGTGAACCATTTTCTCAATGCTGTAGCGCAAGGCAGTGATAACATCACTCTTAGTCACCTGCAAATAGAACACAGTTTAAGAGGGTAACCATAAGAAGGAAAAAAGAAAATTGTGTAAAAATAAATAAATTATATCAGCAGCTGCTTATCTCTCTTGGTAGTACCATTCTATCTCGATCATCAACAACCCCACGTGCTATTTCTCTCATCATCACTAAGGAATGCACTTGTTGGTCATCTAAATTTACCAAGGACATTGAATTTATTCCTTCCAAAATCTTCTGGCACCCACTCTTTATTCTCTCTTTGTGGTGGTCCATGACAAGAGCCAGCAAAGCCCAGAAAGAGAACTAGATTAACTGACACATGTAGCAACCACAACACCCCAGGTGAACATTTTCACTCAGACAATAGGAAAAGTAAGAACTTTGAAAGTGTAACGAAAACCCAAATTCGTGGAATAAGGGGGCGAATCAGGTAAAGCAAAAACTTCATTACTGGTAGAACCTTTCTTCCTTCACTCAAGTGGGGAACCACTTAGCCAAAAAGGAAGGTATTTGAGTTGAGCAAGCTCTTTGGAAAAATATATACTCTTCAAATTGAAATTGTGCTACCCTAATTCGGGTATGGCTGCAAACTGAGCTTCAAACTCTTCTCTTTATCCTGAGCGATTAATGTTACCCCAAGGGAAGGAACTTAGGGTTTGCTTCATGCTGATTCACTCATTCTAATGCAGGGGAAAAGAAATTGGAAAGTGGTATTGTTAATTAATCAATTAATTAAGGTAAATTACTCTTCTTCTTCTTTTTCTTATCGTTTATTATTAAAAAATCTAATTTAATATCTTAATTTTTAAAATGATGTAATATTATTTTTCTGTCTAAATTAAACTAAGTTCATTGATTCTTTGTATACATGAAAAGACAATATTAGATATTATTTTAAAAATTAAGTGACAATTTTTTAATAATAAAATACTAAATTAAATTTTTTTAATAAAATTTAACTCAGTTTTTTTTACAGCAATATAATTCAATTATTTGAAATAGATTCGAGTGATGTAACTCTCTCGATATTAAACTAAAAAAAAAACAAGCATTATGTCAAAGTAATTTTAATGGTTAAAATAATGTGAAATTGATAAATAATTTTTTAATTAAATATACATAAGAGATTTAATTTTTAAATAAATATCTATACAAACATTTATTAGAAAAAATACATAAATTTATTAAAAGAGATATTATCATTTAAATCTCTAAAAAAAATAGCTTTTAACTCATGTAGAATACTCTCTTCAAATAAAAAAAATGAAGACTAATATAATATGAGTACATTTATAATACATCTTTATTATCAATATTAATAATATTAATTAACATAAGTGATAATAACTTATATTTTTTAATTAAATTATTTAAAATAAATCCCGACTTTAGATATTAAATCCATTATGTGGGAAGAAAAATACACATGGATATAATAACCATTTTCAAAAATATAAATTTATAAAAATCATATAAAAAAATTATAAATTATTATATTTACGAGAGAGAGAAAAAAGTTACTATTGAACAAAAAATTACAAGAATTTTTTGGAAAATAAAAAATTGACAAAAAAAAATGAAGGGTGGTGTAGATGGAAGAAAATAAAAGTTCAGAAAGAAACTCATATTAAAAGTTCAGAAAGAAACTCATATTTAAAGTTTCAACCCATTTCTTGTAAATTAGCCCAGTGATAAGTTTCAATATCTTAGCCCAATTTCACCCAAGGTTTACGCTAAAATGGATAATAAAGTGTCCGTGCCCGAAAGAAAAACTTCTTTTTAAGTAAAGTTTTAAATTTGAATATATTTTTTAAAATATGATTGAAAAAATAATTTTTTTTTAAGTCAGAGCATATAAGTCAATAAATACTTTAAATCAGAGCATATAAGCATATAAGTCAATAAATCTACCTCTTTTTAGTTTTTATATTTTTTTCAGACATTTATATATATTTTTATTATATATTAATTTTTTCCACCACCATATCTTTTAAATATAAAATAAAAAAATGTATATAAAATTGATTATAGTTCATTTTATCAATAATAATTATGATTTTATTTTGTAACCATTTTTATTTAAATTTATTTTACTTTTTTTAATTATACATTTTATTACTTGATTTATATGTTATCATTTTTATTTTATTTTATTTTACTATTTTTAAACAGGAATTCGTTCCTCATAACCTCACGAATAATAATAAAATTAAATTAAATTTTAAAAAAAAAAAGTGTTTGACAAAAAAAAAAAGTAATAACAAGTGAATAGGCTATTTTGTGCGTTCTAATTATCATCTCTGTACACACCTATAAATATAATAAAAGTTAATTACTTATACACTGTCAGTGTAAAGTTTTTTTACACTGACAACCAATTATATCTTTTAATTTAGTTGCCGATATAAAAAAACTTTACACTAATAATATATAGATGATTAACTCAAATTAGGGATGGCAACGGGGCGGGGCGGGTACGGGTTTCATGATACCCGTCCCCGTCCCCGCAAGTAAAACTCATCCCCATCCCCGTCCCCATACCCGTCGGGTATGGATTTTCATCCACATCCCCGTCCCCGTCGGGTATCGGGTATACCCGTACCCGTACCCGTACCCGTCTTTATTATATTATAATTATAATTAGGTTATTTTTTTATCTCGCATTATAATAAATAATCATACGTAAAAAAATATTAATTTTTTTTAATATAATTAAATTAAATGTGAATATTAAATTAAAAATGAGAACGGGGACGGGTACGGGTACGGGTACGGGGCGGGTAAGTACATACCCGTACCCGTACCCGTACCCGATTCAATATATCGGGTTTTACCCGTACCCGTACCCGTACCCGGTCAAACCGGGTATTCCCCGTCAAAGTCGGGACGGGTTCGGGTATTACCCACGGGTACGGGTATATTTGTCATCCCTAACTCAAATAATAATACAGAACTTTTAGATGATATAGCTGTTAAATATTATATCACAATGCAATAACATGAAATACCAGTTCTCACTTTAACAATTTTTTTAAATTTAAATAATCAATGTATGCAGATTTAATTTGACAATTAAACCAAAATTACAATTTTTTTTTGGAAATTGAGAAACCAAATTACGTGATTAAAAATATATATATAGGTCCAAAATTACAAATTAAGAATTAATAAAGCAAAAATAGAATTGAGCAATGGTTCAACAGGCACAATAGCAAATCTGATCTTGATTGCAGGTGCCACCAAGCAAACCTTCTCCTATCTTGCATAGATAGTCACACTGTTGGCTCCCAATTGGCTCAATGCATCCTTCTGGGAACAAAACACTTGCTCTCTCACATTTTTCACCCTCCACCACCACCATTTCTTCTACAATTTCCAAACACAACTATTTTATTTCATCAAAATCAAATTAATCAACTATAACATTTTCTTCCTCACATTAAATATATATTGACGTACCAGAAGCTATGAGAAGAATCAACAAACATAACCCAACAACTGATTTCCTCCCCATCGCTGATCCTTTTCTTTCTTTTTTCTCTCCTCAAAATGTTTTGCTCCTCATCACATATTTTTCCATTTTATAGACCTCAACTTGGTTCAATATTCCCTACCATTTTGGTCCAATCTTGGTGTTTTACAATACTCGCACCTCTCATAGCTTTTGCTTAATTAATTAAAAAAAGTGATGTCATTGAGAAATAAAATATTATTAAAATATGTTACTTGAATTTTAAGACACGATATACCAATATATAAGAAATATATATTCAATTACTTAAGCTATTTTTAATAAAAATATATTATATTTAAACATATAAAGATGGGTAGTGATTTTGTGAGCAACAAATGTCATATCTTTTAATCAAACATAAAAGGCATGTTTTAAATTTAAATATTTTGTAAGGGTAACATCCAAGATTATTAATTTATGTCTACTAAATATTCTAACAAACACTATTGTTTTTTTTTTTTTTATGTTTTTAAGTGTTGTAATTAATATTCACAAAGCATTGGCTTAGACTGATTAGCGGGACTAGAAGTGAATAATGAATGCATCAACAAAGATAGGATACAATCATTGAAGAGACTTTGATTTTTAAAATTCAACTTCTGCCGGTTGTTTATTTTAATTTTAAATCTAACTTACTCAATTAAATATTTATTGTAGTGGCATCCCCACAAAATTCTCTAGTTAAACCCTATTTGTTCTTTATTATCATAACGCGCTAAGATTAAATTAATGCAAAATATAATCCCAATAGAATGAGTCGGGAATAACATATAGAATAAGTCTGTTATTAGAATATATACATATTTATATGAGTGAATGAGAGAGAGAGAGAAAAGAATATGACATTTTTATTTTTTTTTTGAAAGAATGTGACAAATAAAATAAGTGAAATCATCGATAGAAACACCGATGGAACGTTGTTACCTCAGAAAATAAAACTTGGTCGACTATAAAAGGTGTTTTCACCTTTGGAGATTAAAAGAGTTGAAATTTAAATAGAAATCCCGCTCAATGATGTAAAGAACGAAGAAATTGGGTAAATAATATTATACTACTTGTTTTCTTACTTTAAAATGTAAGATAAATAAATTAATGAAAAATTGTTTATTAAAAAATGTTACAACTAATTAAATTTAAAATTTATTCTTAAATCTTGTTTATTCAAAGAAACATAAGTCATAATTAACTAAAACACGTTATTAAATTAATCATTTAATATACTCATTCTTAAATATATAATATCTTAGTTAATTATTAAACTTTTAAACAACAACAAATTTATAACATCGAAGTTATATATAACACAGTAATATATTACATATAATAAATAGATGTAGATTAATTATGAACAAGTAGTACATGAACAATTAATTGCATATATTATTATTGTACCGGAAGGTCATACACTAAGATGAGTTTTACAATAGATCATCTTTACATGTGGTCTACCATGCACAACCTTTATTAACCCTCAAACGCATATATAATATTCACATGGTGTACCTTTACATCAAATTGTTTTTTTATTTTTATATTCATAGTTTTGTGGTGGATTTAGATGTTGGGGAATAACAAGAAAAGGTGGAGTTATAAGGTGGCCAGAGTAGTTTGGAGGAGGGATACAAGATTGGAGTGATAATGAGGATGTTGGTTCAAATTTTCTCACTGACATAATAACTAACAATTAACATTTACAAAAAAATAAAAATAAAAAAATAATTACTTACGTGATATGGAAGATAATTAGGTTAGTGTTAAATAGAGAAAAATAAATCGATACAAGAAAAGCACAATATTATTATTAGTGTTAGATACATCTAATGGCTAATTAAGATGGTTAATTAAGATGGTCCACATAGACCATTTATAAAAGTGGTCCACAATAGCACTTGCTATAAACTTAAACTATGAAATCTACTATGTATATAATTCATTTTTTATGTATACACCTATATTGGTTTTTTTTTTATTTTGTTTTTTATATTTTTAATCTATAACATATATAAAGTAGTTTGATTTAGTGTACATATTTTATAGACAATTTTACATGTAAAATTTTAAATAATAAAAATTATTATTAAAAATTAATTACTTTTATAAACACAAACTCGAACTTAACATCCTAAGATTTGAGACATAGACACAACACCAATTAATCTAACAAATGTTGATAAATTTTAAATACTTTTATTAAATAAAATATAGAGACACGAAGTATTTCAATCCTACTTGTTTAAATAAAAATAATTATAATTTACTAAAAAAATAGAACTCTAATTCTCTAAAGTTATATTTTAAATATAAATTCAATTTATATTTTAAAAATAAAATAATATATTTATATTCTCTCTTTCTTGTGAATATATATATATAAACCTACTCCAAGAGATACACCTACTTAAGGAAGGTTTTCCAATAGTGACCCACCTGAGCACCACTTCAAGATACCCTATATGGGATCTTCAATTTTTTAAAATAATTTCCTCACCTTAAGTCCTAAGTTAGCTAACATGCCTTAATGTCATATCACATTTTTAGCATCTACACACCTTATCATACATCTACTATATATATCATATCCGGTCAATGTATATAGGGATTAACGACAATATCATCCACACATGGCATATTAATGCTCTACAAATCATTCATCATACAACGTAGATATATATTCACCATCTTCCAACATCATACAAACATCTACACATGTCATATCCAATTAACATATACAGAACAATCTTCATACATTATACAAATCCACCAAAACACTTATATCATCTAGACATTTTGCGCTCGACACAACTTACCTCATGCCCAACACCATCAAGGCAGGGAGCTCTTTGCCTTGCTCACGCTCAATGCCATTCAAGTCGTGCCAGGTGTAACTAAGGTGGAGATCCCATGGGGTCTCGTGCCTGGCATGACAAAACCCAACCCAATGTCACCTTAGTAGTGCTTGACTACACCAAGTCAAAGACTTCCCCTTTCTCTCACACCTGACATCGTTCAAACCATGCTCAACGCCATCCCAATCTAAGATGACTCTCTCACCTCACACTCGATGCCTCCAATCCTATGCCTAACATGATTGAGGCAAAGATCTTTGATTAGAACTACATTCGGAAGGTTTTCCAATAGTGACCCACCTGAGCACCACTTCAAGATACCCTATATGGGATCTTCAATTTTTTAAAATAATTTCCTCACCTTAAGTCCTAAGTTAGCTAACATGCCTTAATGTCATATCACATTTTTAGCATCTACACACCTTATCATACATCTACTATATATATCATATCCGGTCAATGTATATAGGGATTAACGACAATATCATCCACACATGGCATATTAATGCTCTACAAATCATTCATCATACAACGTAGATATATATTCACCATCTTCCAACATCATACAAACATCTACACATGTCATATCCAATTAACATATACAGAACAATCTTCATACATTATACAAATCCACCAAAACACTTATATCATCTAGACATTTTGCGCTCGACACAACTTACCTCATGCCCAACACCATCAAGGCAGGGAGCTCTTTGCCTTGCTCACGCTCAATGCCATTCAAGTCGTGCCAGGTGTAACTAAGGTGGAGATCCCATGGGGTCTCGTGCCTGGCATGACAAAACCCAACCCAATGTCACCTTAGTAGTGCTTGACTACACCAAGTCAAAGACTTCCCCTTTCTCTCACACCTGACATCGTTCAAACCATGCTCAACGCCATCCCAATCTAAGATGACTCTCTCACCTCACACTCGATGCCTCCAATCCTATGCCTAACATGATTGAGGCAAAGATCTTTGATTAGAACTACATTCGGTACCATGAAGGCGTGCCTGATGTGATTGTAATTTCTACATATTGTAGATCACGAAAATTGCCCCAAGTACCTGGAACTCAAAAAACCCATCAATGTGCATTGCAACCAATCATGTATATCCACCATATACAACACATTTGTAACAAAAAGCAACACATGCAACAACAAATTAAGTAAATCACAAAAAATTTCACCTTGACACCCAACAACACCAAAATCCTACCCTTCAATCTGATTCCAACCATATTCTACCTACATTTGATGAAAGAAACAACACAATTCATCAAATCAAACAACCAAATCGTCCTAGCTCGCCTTATCTCAATCTTCAAGCAACTGGAATCCGAAAGAGAGGAAGGAGAAGGAAGAATCAGTCTGAGCCTAAAGAAGACAAGCTCTGCACCAACTCTCAACCCTAATATCTTTGAATCTAACACTCCCAACTACAAATCTCTCACTCCAGAGGAACCTAGAAAGAAGAAGGAAAGAAGAATCACAACTCCTCTCTGTAGATCACTCTCTCTCTAAAGTTTCTAAAGAGAAAATGATTATAAATCCTATTCAAAATAGAACCTTATATACTTTTCTGCTCAGGGTCAATTCGACCTATGACAAGAGACCCTTACACTTACCCAACTTACCTGAGTATAGTGTTACATAAGTCATTTACAAGTGTCCATATAATACTCAAAATATTTATCGTATATATATATATATATATATATTAAATTTTGTGACATCTAATATATTTAATAATAATTATTATGATTATAATATTAATCCTGCTGATGCTTTAGATCAGAACATATACAAACCGCCAGCTATTGTCATGAGCACTGCAGTTACACCAGTAAATGCTAGTGCTCCATTGGTGATAAGCTGGGAGCCAGAAGCTCAAACTGATCAATTCTATGTTTACTTACACTTCATGGAAATTCAATTGTTGGCCACAAATCAGACAAGAGAATTCAACATCATGCAAAATGGTAACTCAAGGTATCCAAATTTTTCTCCACGGTATCAGCTTGTCACCACTTTATATAGCTCGTCAGGCACCAGTGGGAAAGAAATTATATATTCACTTGAAAAGACCAAAAATTCAACCCTTCCTCCCATCATCAATGCCATTGAGATTTACAGAGTAATAGACCTCCCGCAATTAGATACATTCCAAGAAGATGGTATGCCATGAAAATATGATTTGTCATATATATTTTATATCCATTTGTTTGGATTACACTATTATATGTGATCTTAACTACCCTTTACCCTTTTTTGCATTAAAAAAAAAATAAGATGATGCGATTACCACCATCAAGTCAGTTTATAGGTTGACAAGGGATTGGCAAGGTGATCCATGCGCCCCTGTAGCCTACTTGTGGCATGGTCTGAATTGTTCTTATCCTAGAAAAGAGTCCCCTAGAATCACAACTTTGTAAGTCATGCTTCTCAAATTAATATTACAGCTTTATATAACTGGAACGATAACGTGTATAACTAAAAGTTATGCAAAACAGGAATTTATCTTCAAGTGGATTGTCTGGAAAGATAGACCCTTCAATTTCAAAGCTCACCATGTTGGAGAAGTTGTGAGTTTATTTGTTTCACCTGCTCCAATAAATGATGAAACCAGAAAAAACCTTTTCTATTTTAAGAGTAAATAGCTTATGCATTATTAGTATAAAAGATCGTACCTTTCTCGGCCTTTTGGCTAAGATCAAGTGTAAAAGATCTTTGTATGGTGATCCAGTTACAAATTATATGAGATAAATTTGTTAATTTTTATAATAATTATTTTGTAAATTGTACAAATATTGATTGGTTATCACTGTAAAAAGTGTGACACTTATTTTAGATCTTTTCATTCTTTCTACTATATTCTTATATGTTTAAACATGTTTATAAAGAGGCAAGTTATTTGTTTTGTAGGGATTTATCAAACAATAGCTTAAACGGTGAAATTCCTAATTTTCTGTCTCAATTACAACACTTAAAGATCTTGTAAGTTACTTCATTTACTATTTCACCATAAAAATATAAATAAATAAGTTACTTTAACAACTATGTGATTCCTCTATAGCAGAAAATGAAAAAGGATAATGAGACATATTAGTATCGCACCATCTAAAATTCATTCTTGAAATTTATTACGAATTCACAACAGGGTCTCATTATTTTATAGTTTTTAATAAATTCTAGCATTCTCAAATATTATAGTTTCCGTGTTTTGGCAGAATTTTGAACAGTAATAACCTCTCTGGTTTAATTCCCTCGGCACTTGTTGAAAAATCTAAGGAAGGTTCCCTGTCACTAAGGTACGGAGCATACTGAAAATTCTCAAATTCGTAATATCGTTATTTATGGTGACGATTATCAATTAGTTTTATTTTAGTTTTCTACATAAATCTTCTTTATCTCTATTCAATATTTTGCAGTTATCTTTTAATCACACTTGCTATTTCTATATTGTTTTTTATTCAACGGATCATGGATTACACCAAATTATACCCCACAAGAATATTTGAATCCGAAAATTCTCTGTTAGTTCTCATGTTAACCAACGGTGTCACCTATGTTTTTCCATAGACAGTTGTTGATACACAGAATATTTCGGCACAAGTAAAATGAATTGAAGTATCTTTTTAAATTATCAATGACTTGTAAGGTTTACAGAGTGTTAAAACATAAATCTGCCGTGATTTCTATCCTAGTGTGGACCAAAATCCGTATCTATGTGAATCTGATCAATGCAACGAGAAGAAAAAGAAGAAGAAGAACACTGTCACACCCATAGTAGCATCAGTTGGCGGGGTTGTAATCCTTTTGGTGGTCGTGGCAGCAATATTGTGGACCCTTAAAAGGAGAAAATCCAAAGGTGATGCCACAATGATAAAATATTCGTAAATTTTATTGATAATTTGCCAAGCAAATTCAATTGTAACCTGTTTGTTTTCGAAACTATTGTATGATATTTAACAGCTTTGATGGTAGAAAAGGATCAAAGTCAGATCTCACCACAATACACCGAACAAGATGATTCATTCCTGCAATTCAAAAAACAAATATTTTCATACTCTGATATCCTTAAAATCACCAACAATTTCAATACAACACTTGGTAAAGGAGGATTTGGAACAGTTTATCTGGGCCATATTGATGAGATTCCAGTCGCAGTGAAAATGCTTTCCCCGTCATCTGGTCATGGTTATCAACAATTTCAAGCAGAGGTAATAGTTGACAAGGGATTGGCAAGGTGATCCATGCGCCCCTGTAGCCTACTTGTGGCATGGTCTGAATTGTTCTTATCCTAGAAAAGAGTCCCCTAGAATCACAACTTTGTAAGTCATGCTTCTCAAATTAATATTACAGCTTTATATAACTGGAACGAATTATTATTATTATTATTATATATTACCTCCAATAATCATTTGTATAAATAAGAAATAAAAGTGTAAAATACATTATTATTTATTTTTTATAAAGAAAGATCGGAAGGAATGATGTTCCACTCATCCAAAGTTGATACTTGTATATATCACAAAACAAATAATATTAGAATTTAATAGTCATGAATATAAAATAATTTTATATTATTATTATACAAGCTAACAATTTATCATAAATAATAATTTATGATTGATAATATAAAACTATTTCATACTATTAATGTATCACTTGTTTTCTTATCTAATAGTTTCAAACTTTTTTTAGTATAAGATATAATTAATTACGGAATGAAGTTATGTAAACATGACTTCAGAGACGTATAAAGTGGTATATTTTCTTTTAGAATATATATATATATATATCATAAAGAAATACAAAATTATTTGTATATTCATTTTTAATAATTATATAGATATACATATATATTTTTATTTTAATTAAATAACTATATAGACAGGTGTGTGTGAGTATGAGATAGGGAGAGTACAATAGTACTTGCATTTGTCCATAAATTCGATCATTTTTATTGGGAAAATATTTATCTTACTCATCACTTTGTTTGTTTGTTTTTTTTTTTTTTTTGTAATTACATGCAAAATGCGAGTACAGTTATCACCCCTAGCTATGTGTAAAAGTAAAACTGTGTTATTGATGTAGTAATTTATGTTAATGTATTTGACAAAATAAAGATTATAGGGGGTCTTTGTGATGGAATTTGGACTCAAGGAGATCAGAACAAAGAGAATATTTGGTGACAGAAGTATATTGTTGTGCATGTTAATGGTCCAGCAAGCCCACTTGGCCATGCTAAATATTAGCTACAACAATATGATTATGACAACCTTATCCACTACCTATTGCTACATTAGCTACCTATAAACAACAACAAACCATGGAACAGAAAATAAAGTCGATGACATGAAAAACAGCAACTAGTAAATAGGAAAACTAAACTATTTAGTCTATAGGATAAAAGAAAATGTTGCACCATTGTATTCTCATTGGGATAAAAAAAAAAGTGCATATTTAAATTAAATTAAATTAATTTAATATAAAAAACAAAACCTTAACTAATTTAAAATTTTGAAAGGCTAAAATTATCCGCATCGCAATTAAAATGACTAAAATACAATAAATAAGCTGAAATAAAAATTCAGTGAATAGACGATGGATTGCGTCTTTTTCTGAATAAAGGTCAAAAGTTGGTGTCGGAATGTTCAAAGCCACTTCACATGGCAATGTCATGTCATGGAGATAGTGAAGTTCTTGGACCATTTTTTTTCCTTGGAAATTTCGTTGATGAATAAAATTAACGCGCAGCAGAAATATCCAAGAAATAAAGAGGAAAATGTGAAAATACAAATACATGATACATGATTGATGATTATTCATCGTTCTTCAATCATATATATAATTAGATGAAAATATTTAATGCAGTTGTTGTTCCATGGTGTACTGGCACAGCAAAGATTTTCAATTTGCTAGTAAATTTGGAACAACACTTTGCACAGTACTATATTACTGATTATTTCATTAATAGCATGAGTTACTTTTTAACTTTAGTTATGGTTTTAAAAAAAAAACACTTTAAAGGATAAATTATAGAAGGGTTGACCCAATATGAGGCAGTCTATGTTTAGTTTGTTTGACCTAATATTTAGGTGAGTGATCCTAATGTCTAAGACTGTTTGTAGGCATATTATAGAGTTTTGGTATTTTAGTTTAGTTTATATATGTATGTATAAATATTTGTGATAGTTTATGATTTTTTTGTATCCTATGATACTAACTTTATTTTATTTTTAATAAACGACCATTCAAACTTCAAAATCATCTTTCTCCGGTCTTTGACGAGGAGATAGTATTTTCAGGGTTTAACCATATATTTTTTTTCCTAAAATTATAACAGTTTTATTTTAATTTTTATTCAATCTTATTTTTATGTCTATTAAAAATGTATTGTTTTAATTTCTACGAAATTCACGGCTTTTGTAAATTTTAAGGATTGAAAATGAATAAAATTTAAATAAAATTTAATTTAAAATTTAAAAAATATTAAAAAAATTTGATCATAGGGATAACACAAGTTATTTTCAAGATTCTCCCTAATATCTTTTTATTCATAGTAATTATTAGAAAGACCAAAAATAAGTTTGAATTTAAAATTTTGTCCACACTACTTTAACTTCTAAATCTCTAATTCTCCATCATTACTTTAAAAAGAAAAAACTTACAATTAAAGTGGTTAAATTAAGATAAACTTAAATTACTTTTACACAATAACTATTAAGATTGATTTAGTAATAAGATATTGGATATATGCACTGTAATCTTTTCAACTGATAAAAAAAAATACATTAATGTTTAATTACACCTTTTTTTCTTCTATAATCATATAAATTGAGTAATAAATAAAATAAATTATGAACAACAACAATTGAATAATTTTTATAAAAAAAAATATTGCAAAAGGTATAATTTATTTAAATTAAATATATATTTTACACAATTAAAGTATAAAAAATATTCACCAAACCATTCCATGAATTATTATAAAGATCAAATAAACACTTTCAATATAATGACGATTTAAGTTTTAGAATTCTTATCGATTCTAATAATTTTTTAGGCTGAAATATATTTTTATTCCTCAAATTTAAGGTAAAATTATTTGTTAGTCCATCAAAATTAAAATGATTTTTTTATTTCTATAATTTTAAAAGATTTATTTTAATCTTTATATTAGAATTTCATTAAAAAATTTATCAAATAATGTCACATAAAGTCTGGTTATTGATATTATTGTTAATGAAAATATCACATTAAATTTAAAATAATGCATAATTATTTCAATTTGTCACTTTCAGATATATTATCAATGACTTAAATAACTAAAATAACAAATTTAAATTTAAGAAAAAAATAAATTTATTATAAATCTAAGAGGTTAAAAATATATTTAACTTTTTATATATATATAAATTATCAATTATGAGATTGTTCCATGATCCGGTAGATGAAAAGTAAATGTCCCTTTTATTTCAAAATTTTGGATCTTATAACTTTTTCGTTCACATATTAAGAAATATTTAATTTATATATATTTAAACTAAATTATTCTTATTTGTTATCTCTCAATTCTAAAGTAATGTTGTATGTAAACTAATCTTAATTGCATATTGCATATAAGGATACAATTGGGAAAACTTACATGAAAACATATTAGAATTCTATAAAAAAAATTGAAATTAAACTAAAAATTTTAAATGGAAAATATATCGAATGTGTGATTTTTTAAAATAAAAATGGTAGATATGGATTGATGTCTTTATAACTATTAAACAAAAAGTCAATAACATGTTTAAGATACAAAAATTTTATAAAGTAAAGTGTAAAAAAAAAAAAATACTTTCTTTTTCGATTTTTTCTCCATCAGTTAAGGCACTTACCACTCATTTTTATTATTTCTTATTTTTTTTTCACTCTTAACTTCATTTTTTAAAATCCTAATTCTTCATCTCATCTTCAATGTTGCATATATTAGATACAAAAATGTGAGTATTTTTTAAGGCATCGTTTTGAAAAATATGAACTATTGATCATATGATGAATAATCGATTATAAACAATATTTTTTTATTATAATTATAAAGTAATTTTATGAATTATGATTTATAGTTCCTAAAATATACTTATAGAAATTACTTTTTACAACAATATATTTACTCTTTCGAAAAGTATGTTAAAAAAATTTGAGGGAGGTATATTATTACCGAAGAGGGTGTATTTAAAAAAATCAAAAATTAATTCTTTAGTAGAAAATCCTATATAAGAATAAAACTAATTTGAATGGACATTCAATTATTTTCAATAATTATAAATGATGGTAGATATTATTCATAGATATTTATCGTGATTTTTTAAATTAAAATTATGTATTTTTTTTTTTTATCTTTAATATATTAAAATATATTTTTCTAATTAGAACTTTTATTTCTATTTTTTTCATAAACATTTTAAAGATATTAATTAATAAGATCTTAAATTAATTTCTTCCTTACTTTTAATTAATCAAAGTTTGTGAATATAAAGTATTTATCAATTTTGATAATGAATGATATTTATTAAAGATTCAACATATTCATTTTTAGTTAGATATTTTTCTTGATTTCACATATTTTTCATTCATAAGACTTGAATATATTACTTTAATTAAAAGTTTTGAACTTAATTTTACTCACACAAATAATTATTAATAAGAAGTGATTACAATATTGATGGAGATATTAGTCTCTAATTCAATGGATTGAAAATACCTGTAACAAGAAAAAAAATAATTTTTACTCTACAAATCACGAACATACCAATATAACAGTTGTTCTATTCACATGGTTCATATAATATTTCAAAATTGACAAAAAAAAAATCAATATATGTTCATAAAACATGAATTATACAGAAAAAAGAAAATAAAAAATTTATCCTAATAATTTGTATGATTATTAAAAAATATATATGGTTATTAAAAATAAAATAAAAAAGAGAAAAATGCACATCAAATGGATTTTTTTTATTATTAGTATAGAAGTATATATAATTCACTTCTTCTTTATTTTCCTTTTATGTTATTTTTTCTACTTTTTGCTTTTTTCTTTTAGTAACATTATTTTTGTTCTTTATACCTGTATCCAGCCCAATTTTAAAGTGTATGTATATTCAACATTGTCCATATGGCAATGTGGTCTGACCCACTGGTAGTAGTCTATCACAAGACTATTTCTAAAATAAACATGATCGAGTCTAGTCTTGAA